TCTGTTTTAATTTGCTCACCCTCAAGTGGTTCCAAACCCCCAAAATGACATGCACCATACAAGTAGTCCATATGTCTTCTGCACTATATTCCAAGTCTTCTAAAGTCATAAGATGGGGTTGTGTGCCATGTGATAACAATAAATGATTATTTAATTCCCTTTCCGCTTAAATTTTGGTCTGTTCCTCGCCCAAAACTATCATTCATGCAACTTGAGCAGAATGCATTTGTGTAAATTGCTTGTAAAAAAACATCCGCCCATGTTTCACGAATTAAGCCATATGTGGATCTGGAAAGCAGGCGACATGTTCAACAGCTTGACTTTGGCTTCAGTGTTCTTGTATAATTTAATTGTTTTCCGATTCAGCAGCATTGATCTGATCCTTCATGACAACGCAAAGCTATCGTACATCTGGAGCCACCAGCCGCAGTAAAATGGACAGTGAGTTGTGCAGCTCATTAGACACGCAAGCTTTGCAATCAAAGTCCTTTGGCAACTCTGACAAACCGCTTCAGCTTGCTAGGAGCTCGGCCTGGTGCACGGGTAGCCCTCGAGCGGGTGGCATGGTGTCATTTGGGTCTCAGTGAATTATTCATTTCAGAAGGCGCAACTGTCAATGCGCTGATCTTGATCGGAAGTGATGGGTATATCAATCTCACTCGCCAGAGACACCAGAGCCGCGCTGTCTTCAGCAGTCTTCCTCCTATCACGGTGAAGTGGAAGCTAATAGTGACGTATCGTCTTCTATTTCTAGCCCTGCTGCGTAAGGTGGATTGTGAAATTGCTTTGAGGAGTTGCAGGCATGTGGATGAAAGCGTTAAATAAATAAATAAATAATAGCTTTTTTATGTCTCAGGTCGCATGAGAAAGAACAATGTGGAATTCAAAATCATCTGTCAGCATTTCCACACTCTTCATATTTCATGATAGACTTTTGCATCTGTTTATACCCTGTTTCTGCGTTGATTAATATGTTGGTTTTTAGGAGTGGATATTAAAATACTGGCACCAGTAATGGGACAGATCATGTTTCACCTTTTACAATAATTGCTTATGAATTTCATTTGATATGTGTGTTTCAGTGATAGTTTCTAGTAATAAAAGTCAAGTACTTAGGACACCTGACTATACATGCGTCCAGTGTCCAAAATTCACACCAAGTACCAAATATGTAGTTATATTTGTAGAGTAAATAAAACAATGACCATTTGAGCTTTAATTTTTTTTAAATAACAAGTTTTGTATAGCTGTGCTGTTTGTTACAAATATATAAATCTTGTAACCTTTTACAATAGGTTTATGCATGTAAACATTAGTTTAACACAATGCATGATCTAACAGAAAACTATTACAGAAGAAGAAAACTATTACAGCATTTGTAATTTTGATTCATTTATATAAATACTAGTGCTGTCAAACGATTAATCGTGATTAATTGCATCCAAAATAAACGTGTTTTTTTTCACATATGTGTGTGTATTGTGTATATTTATTATGTATATATAAATACAAACACATGCATGTATATATTTAAGAAAAAATATGTAATGTTTGATATATTAAAGGGGTCCTATTATGCTCTTTTACAGAGTCTTGATTTTGTTTTGGGGGTGTACTAGAACAGGCTCTCATACTAGGTTGTTCGAAAAACACATTATTTTTCACATGTTTTACATTATTACAACTCCTCCTCAGTCTGGCATGAACGGCTCGAATAGTTCCTGTATCAAATGAAGGCCCGCCTTCTGAAAGACGAAATGTGCTGTGATTGGTTAGCTGGGCCAGTGTGTGTTGTGATTGGCTCCACTTGGCTCCTGGTCTGGAAATGTCACGCCCCTTACCATAGCCGCCTGCGAGCTTCAGTGTAAATATTGCGTCAAAATAGTAGATTAGTAAATACTAATATATTTTAATATAAAGTTGTGCAATAGTGACTTTAATCTACATTAATAAAAGCTGTAAAGTGATCGTTCATTGTTAGTTTTTAATAGGGATGTAACGATTAACCGCGAGCCAGTTGAAAATCAATTCAAATATGTGACGATTCAAATCGGTTGAGATGCTAAACAAATCGCGATTCAATTAGGGGTAGGAGTTTATATGAATGCATGTCTGAGGGGAACTTACTGTCTTTAGAAAAGTTTAGATGGTATTTTTTTTATTAATCTTGCCTCTGTATAATGCATATTAAAGTTCATAAGTTCAGCGCTCCTTTGTTTACAGCGGAAACCAAGGAAAGGGTTTAAGCGCCACTTGCTGGCAGAGAGTGCATCTGCGTCTCGTTCAGCTTGTGTGATGTTGCTGTTTCATGCAGATATTTTATGTATCGTTTCACAAAACTGAAGTCAAACCATTCTGTTTTTGCTTGAAATTTCGAAATTATACAATCTAATTTAGATTAAAAACTGCTCATGTTGCATGTATGCAGCATCTTTGTTTGGATCACGATTAAAATGCAGTGGTTGCCTCTAATTTTAAATGGAAAGAGCACAGACAAAGCCTTAGTTTGTTTATATGAAGAGATTTATTTTATTTGTTACTTATTTATTTGATTTGGGGCTTGTTTTAAAATTTAGTTTTGTTATTTACATTTACATTATATTTACATTTTGTTAATTAGCAGATGCTTTTATCCAAAGTGACTTACAAATGAGGACAAAACCAACAAGAGCAATAATATGCAAGTGCTATATTAGTATATTATTATAGTGTTATGTTTCACAAAGAAATGTGCATGTGCAGCATTTTGTCCAAGCAATAATAAAAGGACACAT